GGTGGGGGGGGTGGCAGCACCCATGGGTGCCCTGGGGCAGGGTAGCGGTGGCCAGGGCCCCGCCAGGGCGAAGACGCCGTCCCCCATGGGCCACCCCTGGCGTGCCACTCGCCGTGTCACCCGCCGTCCTGGGGACCTGCACCCGCTTTATGGCCCCAGAGGAAACGAGGTCCACGTCACTCGTCGGTGTCACCACCCCGGGGTGGGTCCCCCCCGTCATGGGGACACGGCACGGGGGGGGGATGTGGCCACGTGGCATCACCCACCCACCGGTGCCACCGCTGTCCGAAAGGGTCCTTGTCCCCTCCGATGCAGTGTCCCCATAGCGTCACCCCCTTTGTGTCCCCAGGGGGTCTCTGTGTCCCCCTCCCATGTCCCCAACACTGTGGCCCCCCCGTGGTGTCCCCTGCACTTTCCCCATGGGGACACATGGGGACCACAGAGGTGCCACTGCATCACCCTGCCTGTGGGGACATCAGTGACCCCACGAGTGTCACCGGGACTGGGAATGTCCCGAATGCCACCAGTGTCCCCAGGGTCACCGGGGATGTGTGTGTGTGTGTGTCCCCATCCCCAGGGCCACTGCAGCCCTGGGGACATCAGGGACACCACTGTCCCCACGGTGGCCCTGGGATGCTGGGGACAGCTTGGGGACAGCTTGGGGACAGCTTTGGGATGCTCCGGGGGGACAAGTTGAGGACAGCCTGGGCAACAACTTGGGGACAAGCTGGGGACAGCTCGGGGACACTCCCAGCCGTCACGTGGCCCCAGGGCGAGGCCAATGCGGGAAGCGGCAGGACATGGGGTGACACCACGGGGTGACACGGGGCAAACCCGCGGGGGAGCCCGGGGGAGATGGGGGCCACCCAGGGGGCAACCCGGGGGGGGGGTGACACAGGGGGGATGACACATGACACCACACATGGGCTCCCGGCCACCCCCACGCCTTGTCCCCAGCACTGGGGACACCACGCGGCCGAGGAGGACACACGCTCGGCCGATTGCCCACTGGCACACGCTTGTGCACGTGTTCACATGCGCGTGCAACACGCTGGCACCCTGCACACACCGGCATCGTGCGTGCACACACGCGTGTGCACGTTCGGACATGGTTGTGCCATTGCACGCGGGCGTCAGGCACACGCGTGCTTGTGCACACGCGGACACGCCTGTGTCATGCACGCACATGCTTGTGTCATGCACACTCATGCTCGTGCACGTGCAGACGCTTGTGCTATTGCACGCTTGCACTATGCACGCACAGGCTTGTGCATGTGCAGACGCTTGTGCTACACACTTGCACCACGCACACACACGCTTGTGCTAGTGCACACACGTGCTAATGCACACTTGCAGCACGCACGCACGCTTGTGCCATTAGACACTTGCACCATGCACGCACAAGCGTGCGCGTGCACACCCGTGCTCGTGCTACCAGCACCATGCGCGCACGCGCGCTTGTGTGAGCACTCGTACTCCCCTGCTACATGCTCGTGCACGCACCCACGTGTGTCTGTGCACCCACACACGTTTGCAGCCGCGTGGGGGCATGCACCCACACGTTTGCACCCACGTGTGCACCCACGTGCACGTCCCATGTGTGTGCACGGCCGTGCCCGGGGCTGCTCCAGCAGCGGCTGTGGACGCCAGATAAGCCACCGGAAAGCACCGCCCGCAGGAGGCCTTGCTGGGAAGGCAGGAAACCACCGGCTGCAGCACCCTGCGTGCCACAGCTGGGTGCTGGGCTGGGTGCTGAGCGCTGGCTGCCAAAGGCCGGGCACCCGGCGGCACCCAGCACCCTGCACCAAATGCCAGGCAGCACCGTGCGCTGAGTGGCGCGCAGCACCGGGCACCGAGCGACGTGCCACACCGTGCGCCGACTGTCACGCTGCACCGTGCGCCACGTGCCATGCAGCACCGTGCACCGTGCGGCGCCACGCACCGAGTGGCGTGCGGCGCCGTGCACCAAATGCCGCGCTGCACCGTGCACCAAGGACCGGGCAGCGCCGTGCACCAAATGCCATGCTGCACCGTGCACCGAGGGCGTGCAGCACCGTGCACCGAGGGCGTGCATCACCGAGGGTTGTGCGTTTACAGGCGTGCAGCACCAGGCACTAAGGGAGTGCAGCACCGTGCACTGAGGGTTGTGCACCGAGGGTGTCCAGCACTGTGCACCGAGGGTTGTGCACCGAGAGGTGTGCAGCACCAAGCACCGAGGGTCATGCACCAAGCAACATGCAGCATCGTGCACTGAGCGCCGTGCTGCACCGTGCGCTGAGGAGGGTGCACCAAGAGGCGTGCAGCACTGTCCAGCGCTGTGCACCGAGGGCCGTGCACCGAGCAGCACTGTGCACCAAGAACCGTGCACCAAGCGGCGTGCAGCACCACGCACCGCAGGTTGTGCACCGAGAAGTGCGCAGCGACGTGCACGAAGGGCCGCGCGGCACCGTACACCGAGGGCCACGCACCAAGCGGCGTGCGGCATCGTGCACTGAGCGCCGTGCTGCACCGTGCGCTGAGGACTGTGCACCGAGCGGCGTGCAGCACTGTGCACCGAGGGCCGTGCACCGTGCGGCACCACGCAGCACCGTGCGCTGAGGCCGTGCACCGAGCTCCATGCAGCGCTGTGCGGTGAGGTTCAGGCAGTGGGAGCTGTGCAGCACCCGTGCACCAAGGACCATGCACCGAGCGCCGTGCAGCACCATCCAGCACCACGCACCGAGCGCCGTGCAGCACCATCCAGCACCATGCACCGAGGGTCATGCAACACCGTGCACGGGATGCCGTGCAGCACCGTGCACCAAGCGCTGTGCGCCAAGGGCCAGGTACTGAGCCCTGAGGGCCTCATCCAGCCCCCGGTACGGCCCCATGCAGTCCCATAGGTGCCCATATGGTCCCGGAGAGGCCTATACGGTCCCCTATGGCCCTGTACAGCCCCACATGGCCTCGTGACCCCATGGTCCCCTATGGAGTTCACAAGAATGCGCGGTCACCTATGGAATCCCCGCAACCCCATCAGTCCCTAGAAGGTCCCCATGATCCTGCGGTTCCCTAGGGAGTCTTCACAACCCTGTTGTCCCCTACAGGGTCCCCACAACCTCGTTGTCCCCCTACGGAGTCCCCATCACCCCTTACAGGGTTCCCACAGCTCCGTCATCACCTATGGAGTCCTCACATCCCCTATGATACCTCCAAGACCCTGTTGTCCCCCATGGAGTACCCATGTCCCCCGTAGAGCCCACACGATCCTGTTGTCCCCTATGAAGTCCCCATGACAACTATGAAGTCTCCACAGCCCTGTTGTCCCCTATGGTGTCCCCATGACCCCGTCATCCCCTACAGGGTCCTCACATCCGCAAAGAGTCTCCATGACACCATCATCCCCTATGGAGTCCCCACGTCCCCTGTGGGGTCCTCACAACTCCATTGTCACCTACAGAGTCCCCATGACCCCTCTGGAGTCCCCACGACTCCGTTGTCCCCTATGGAGTCTTCACAACCCCGTTGTCCCCTACAGGGTCCCCACGATCCCATCATCTCTTACAGGATCCCCATAGGTCTGTCATCCCCTATGGAGTCCCCACGGCCCCCGTGGTGTCCCCCATGACCCCGTCATCCCCTACGGAGTCCCCATAATCCTGTCGTCCCCTACAAAGTCCCCACGACAACTACAAAGGCCTCACCACCCCGTTGTCCCCTATGGTGTCCCCATGACCCGTTGTCCTCTGCAGTGTCCCCACATCCCCCTGACACTCCCACCATGCAGATCCAGAGCCAGGCTGTCGGAAAGGACTTTTTTAACCCCCAAAAAAGGGGGCAGCGGGGGGCAGCAGGGTGGGGGGCACCCATGGGTGGGGGGCACTCGCTCAGGATGGACACA